CTGGGACTGGCGCTAAGGGCAGGTTACAGACACCTGGGGAGGGGTTTGTGTCTCTCTGTCTCACTCTTGTTTGTGTGTGAACGCAGAGCTCCCTGCGCCCAGACCCTCCATCTCTGTCAGCCCCAGAAGGGTGATCGCCCTGGGGGGAGATGTCACCATCCGCTGTCAGTGTCGGTGCGAGGCCAGGAGATTGTTTCTGTATAAAGGTGGAATCCGAATCTGGGAGCTGGATGCATAGGTACTGCCCCCGTGGGTGCTCCGGGCCTGGAGCACCCACAGGGAAAAATTAGTGGGTGCTCTGCACCCACTGGCACCAGTCAACTGTTTATGGGGCCTGCGGACCAGACAGCAAGTGTGAAAAATCGGGATGGGGTGGGGGGTAATAGGAACCTATACAAGAAAAAGAAGAAGTCCTATAAAATCGGGACATCTGGTCACCCTAGAGGGGCTGTCGCCGATCAGCTGTTTCTGGCTCTGAGCTGCTGCGCTGATCTTCTTCCTGAAGCAGAGTTCTGTGAAAGCTTCAAAGCTTCTCTCTCTCTCTCACCAACAGAAGCTGCTCCAATAAAAGATATGACCTCACTCACCTTGTCGCTCTAATGTGAATAGCCTCCCTCCAAAACTGGCAGAGGTGCTTGGAGGAGGGGGCAGAGAGGAGTGAGCGATGGGTAGGCGGGGGAAGGGGCGGAGATGGGGTGGGGCCTAGGGAGGGGGCAGAGTGGGGGGTGGAGCCTCGGGAGGGCACCCACCTGCAAACCCAAAAGTCAGCACCTATGGCTGGATGCCAATGGGGACGAATTCACCATCGCTAGCACCAGGCGGGAAGACGCAGGGGCCTACAGCTGCCGATCCCACGCCCTATGGGCAGGGCCGGTGCTACCATTAAGGCGAACTAGGCGGTTGCCTAGGGCGCCAAGATTTGGGGGCGCCAAAAAGCAGTGCTCCCAATTTTTTTTTACAGCATTCCTCCCCGAGCGCGCGGTCGCCGCTCCACTTCTCCCGCCTCCCAGGCTTGCAGCACCAATCAGCTGTTTGGCACCGCAAGCCTGGGAAGAGAATTAGAGCGGGGGGTGGCGTGCTCGGGGAGGAGGTGGAGCAGAGGTGAGCTGGGGTGGGGAGGTGCCGCAAGGCTCCCCGGGCCAGG